AGAAATTGGAAGATGGTGTTGACATATCATGGCTGTGACAAAAGTAACATAGATTTGGTATAATAATGAGAAAATTAAATTGAAGGTGATAATTGTGTTAAATACATTCTATTATTAATCCCTAATGACATTTAAAATTGAAAATATTTTTTATTTTTAAAGCTAATAGTAGTTACCCTTGCTGGACCTGTTTTGTCCCACGTCTCAAGAATGACGGAGGGAATGTTAATAAGTATAATTAATAATTTTGCCTAGTTATAAAAAAGCAGTAAAAAGCCGCTTTAGTCATCCAGGGGTTGTTCATTGCATCATTTAGGAAGATGGAAAAAATACAGGACATTTCATGGCCCATTTCTCAGAAGAAACAGAACATTTTTGCAATATATATATATATATATATATATATATATAAAGTACAAATGCCCTGTAAGGTTTTTATTATTTAATATCAGTTAAAAAAATTAAGGCACAGTGTAAAGGTTTAATAAACACATTGTCCTTTGTAACAAATTCTTACAACTTTGCATAAATAAATCATTATCATAAATACTCACAACCCACTAAGACAAGTCTAAATAAACTTCCTACACACACACAGTTATTGCACCACTATTGCAGTCTACTGCAAATCTGAAAAACTGAAACCCAGAGCACAAATTCAGCTACGTTGGAAATCATGAAGTACCCTATAATAATACAATACTAAGTCTAATTGTACAGTATGTCCTGGTAACAATGCATTTCTCCCAGGTGCTCTGTGAATGGCATCTATTTTTGGAAAGATGCTATAAAAAGCACAAATGTCCAAGGATGATGCTCGAATCTCCTTCCCAGGTTTCTCCTCCGCCCTGCAAAAGAACATCTCTTATGGGAAGTAGTTGCACGTCTCCTCCGTGAAGCTCTGAATTCCCCAGAACCCTCACCTGTGCTGTTACCTGCAAAGATAAGGCAGGGGAAATACTTTTGGGTGACCTCCTGTTATAGAATAGCTTTACTTTACCTTACATGGTTTGGTTATGTGCCATTTTTGGAAACTTCTCATTTAGAAAAGTTGTTGTCAAGTGTCTTGCACTAATTACATGCCCTAAGATTACTTCTAACCTCACAACCATGTTGTGATATGATGACATGGGATGGATGGATTTCTTCATTGGAGTCTCCCCGTAAGCGTAACACCCTCTTGGCGGTATCCATGTGTTTAGAAGTGGGGCTGTGCTTTTTAGGACATGTCAGGCTGATGCTTTGTGTGGCAGAGTTGCTGTGCAACCATAGGAATCGTAGTTGGACAACATTAAGATCTCTGTACTCAAACTGTGGAGTGCAATAATCAGAAAATTACATTCATTAAGATGCCTGCCATTCTTAATAAAAATGATGATATTCACAGCATAGTTTCCATAGCAACAAAAAACACAGTGTTAGTAAATTAACAAGAAATTACATCATCTTATGAAATTCAGTAAGTTCTTTACCTTGAAGCCTCTATCAAGCTCACTAAACCACTTTTTAGATCTGTCCGCTGATAGCCACATCCCTGAAATCTGACAAAACCACCACAAATGTACACACAAATATAGTATTATATTCAACAAAACAACTGTGCATATGTTATTCTGTGTCTGTGTCCATATGTTATTGTATTATTCTGTGTCTAGCTGGACTGGTACATTTCTTTAAAATAAAGGTTCTTTATTGCCATATGGTTCCATGAAGAACCTTTAACATACATGGAACCTTTTCATTCCACAAAAGTTTCTTTTTAGTGGAAAAAGGTTCTTTAGATTATTAAAATGTTCTTCACACTAAGAAAAAATGGTTCTTTTAAGAACTGTTTACTGAAAAGTTCATTGGGAAAACAAAAGTGGTTCTTATGTGTATTCCTTTTTGGAACGTTCATTTTTAAGATTGGAAACTAAGTGCAATAATAATGGGCAATAAATATCTTTCAGATTTTGAGTCAATAATATCTTACAGTTTTTAATCCCACTTTTAGGCATCTCAGAGTAAAGAAAAACATCAGTTTACATGTCTTAGAATCACCAAAGGAGACGGACTGTGAAAGTCCTCTTACTTTAGACTGGACAGGAGACACACAAGTTAGACCACCAGCAGTAAAATTACAGAACACACGGAGAGCATCAATCGGACATCCGTGGTTTGGATCAATGTAGTAGAGCCCTATAAACAGGACAGGACAGGACAGTAAATTAAAAATGTCCTTCTCTATGATTTCAATTTTTAAAAACAAGAGCCACATTTTTGGGTCTGAAGTTCCAAGTGGTTTTCTGCTCACCATCTCTGAGGTGAGGCTGGATGAGACTCAGCTCTCTGCAGGTGGTTGCTGGGTTGTCTTTGGTTCCTTCCTCAATCTCATCTTCAGGGTCATCAAATCGAGACATCCTGGATAATAACCGTGCTTTCTGAAAAGAATGTGCAAAGACAATCAATCAATATATTAAAACCTTCACCTTAGGTCTTTCTGCTACCCAACCCCACCTTTCCCTCTATATTTGACAATAAAAGTGTTTCAGTGCTCAACAAACCAAGGTTGACTGCTTGAGTTTGTACCAACATTTTGTGATCCTCTTTTCTGAGCATGAGGTGGAGTATTGTGCCCTGGTATCTGCTGGCTGGGAATGCCTGGTTTTCCCTTGTTAGATGATGCAATCGAGTCAGGATATAAACAGATTAAGACACATCATCTCTTAAAAAGGAATAAAATAAGTATGACATTAAAGTGAAATTAAAGTTAAAGTGTGAAATTAAAGTCACATGCAGGAAAACTATTCCACTTACAGGTGGTCCTCTCCGACCTTTCACACCTTTTTGTCCTGATATTCCCTGAACTCCTTTCATACCCTGTTGATATGAACAATACTTAAGAAAGCACATTTAACTCTATTAAGCTTTTTAAAAAAGGGTCGAACCTTAGCTGTTCAATGGTGAGTGGGTGTGACTGTTTTATATTGTGGATATTATATAGCTTTTAATCAACACATATATTTAAAAAAAAAACTGTATGATCATTTGTTGTTTGTTCAGATTGCATACAGTATATAAAAGTTTTAAGTTTTGAACCACTCAGATTGGGAAACCTTCAGAGAGGTTAAAAAATAAATAAATAAACAAACAGAAAAAGACCCAATCAATCAATCAATAAATCAATCAATCAATCAAGCAATCAAGCAATATCTAACCTAAAACTTTTAAACAGTGGTGTTTATAAATAATGGGTTTAAAAAAAAAAAACAACTCTTAGACCTGAAAAATGTTTTTAGCAACAACAACAACAAAAAAGGTATTTTCCGATTTTTGATAAGTGACCTAAAAAAGAATTTCACCATAACTTCTCTTTTCTTTACCTTTTTAATTCATAACTTGCTAACTTAATATATTTTGAGGTCTCAATCATATTTTAAATCCCATATTTTCAATGTTTCATTGTGACCATTTGAATACTGCCTGCCAGGGCCAGGTCATTCGGTGAACGTGATTTCACCAAGTGAAACATGTTCCTGGATCAACATCCATGTTGATCCTGGAACAACATTCAAATCAACCAATCAGAACTGAGGGATAAGTTTACAGGAAATGTCAATTTTAGCCTTACAACCAGAGTTAGGTGCTTCTACACCCTTGTTATTCAACCATCATTTCCCTCTGATTTTAGGGATAAATTATGGGTAGGGTTAGGTTTAGGGGTAGGGATAGGGTTAGGTATATATTTTTGGACAATAATGTTGACCCAGGAACAACAAAAGATGTTGATCCATGAACATGTCTCGCTTGGCAAAATCACGGTGACCCAGGTCAGTCTGACTGTAATAAGATCTGTATCTACACTGTACCTACCTGGTTCAGGTACAGGGCAAAGATAAGCAGAGCTATATAAATTACAATCACACCTGCAATTTCAGTACACACCTTCCTTCCAGATGGACCCTGTAGAGCGAAACAAGACTGTGTGATCTATGCTATTGTTCTAAAGCAGATAAAGCTGGTCAGTGAGTTTACAAAGAGACGTACAGGTGAACCAGGGAATCCTTTGCCACCAGAAGGCCCACTAGCACCAGCTTCGCCCTGCAACAAACAACATATTTATGAATAAAGAAACAAAAGATTAAAGTAAATATGTCCACAAAATACTGCAGGCCGTTATTTACCTGTATACCTTTTGACCCAGGACGTCCCTTGTACCCTGGAACACCTTGCTTTCCCTGCCAGATGAAGGAAAACATTTGTAAATAGTGAAAAAAAAAAGCAATTGGTTGTTTTTTTGATGTGCTTTCTATCTTTAATTTGAACTTACCTTTTCTCCTGGTGGTCCAATGGGCCCTTGCAATCCTCTAATACCAACATGGCCCTATAAATTGCATTAATGAGCAATGAGCAAGGCCTTTAAATGATCAATATGATCAAAACTTTGCTGAAAAACCTACTGTACACAATCGTCTCAGGTTACTTATGTAACCATGGTTCCCTGAGTAGGGAACGAGACACTGCGTCCTCTAGGGGTCGCTATGGGGAACGCCTCGTCGTGACCCGTGTCTGAAGCATACATTGAAAAAACACCAACTCGTTGGCCGGCGACAGCCATGACGTCACTACCGGTGCGACTATAGTATAAATAGGCGCCGGGAGCACACATCATTCACTTCTTCGTCTGAAGCTTGCGTCCGCAGCATGGCAAGAAACCTAGAGGATGCAATGTCTCGTTCCCTACTCAGGGAACCATGGTTACATAAGTAACCTGAGAC